TGCACTGCAGCAGCTAACCGCCTCTATGAAGACAAAGTTAGCACGAATCACAATCAGAGACAAGAATGTGGAAACCAAGAGTACTTTGCTTGTAGAAATCCTTGCGAAATTCACAGGAACAATGATGAAAAATTTTATTTCCCCTCTTTTCATAAACTCCATCCTGATTGCAGTGGTAACAGTAATCATACAGATACAGACAGAAAGTTTTTACACGAGCTGATTTTTAAGATATGTTAACATGCACAGTGAGACTTTGTGGTTCAAAATAGAGCTCAACTATTAATAAATTAATCAACAAGATTAACAGGAAAATTTATCTGCAACCATTTTGATAATCAATTAAGAAGGCCTAACTCAAATGTAAGAATTTGCTGCATTTATATTATGCCGTATCCGTAGCTGAATATCTTTGGGTTTTAACAAGGCATTTACAAACGATACCTTGGAATCTAGGAAACTGGTATTTCTTCAGACAAAGCAAGTCATTTCAATAAAATAAGCTTAAATGTATGGTTTTGTTCAACTGGAAGCCAGCCATTTACATTATTAAAGCACTCAAGTTACACTATCACTTAAAATAAATGTCAACTTTAGCGTGCTTTTTGCCAAATTTAGTAACTTTTCAGACATCTTCAGTGACTTTAGTTCTTAAAAGTAAACTAAATCCAGCTGCTCCTCTGTACCATGAACAACAATGTTTAGCATTGTATGTCAAATCAGAGCATGTGATTCTGAACACCTGCTTGTCTATTCCACAGATGTCACATGATTACAGCCCTTCCCAAAAACAGACTTTAACTGAAAATATTTAGCATGTCAATCAAAAGTCAAAATAATTGTTTGTTGCAGCACTTATATTGTCAGTACAGTCTTTTAGCAGCAATACTGGAGCTCCATGTTCTTGAGAAACAGTGAGAGTAATATTAATGCACTATCTCAGATTTGAAAAGATATGGTTAACCTCTGTGTGTTTTTTGATAAAGAACTGAGCCTTTTCACAGTATAAAGTATTTTGTCAACGTCAGTTTAGCTGGTTGGACTGCTAATAACTGCTAACAAACTAAAATTGGAAAACTAATGCATCTTCCATACGCTAGCATTAGTAGCTTGTAGTCTCACCATATCTGTACCATCAGTTGCTTTGCTAAATTTAAAGAGGTGGTATTATGCTCATTTTCAGGGTCAAATCTTATTTATGGGTTGTACCAGAACAGGTTTACATGGTTTCATTTTCAAAAAACTCCATATTTTTGTCATACTGCACATTGCTGCAGCTCTTATTTTTACCCTGTGTGTTGAACTCTTCGTTTTAGCTACGGAGTGATACATCTTACCTCTACAAGATATTTGTTGGGAGTTGCACATGCGCAGTTCCTAGTTAAGGACTATACTAGCCAATCAGAAGCAGAGTATGGCGGGTCCTGAGAAGCTCGTAAACACGATCCAGCTGTATATCCCCTTACCAGCTTGGCAACGTGGACTGGAGCAAGAGTTTCAGAGTGGTGAGTTATTAATCTGTAACAAATGTATCTTTCATCCATAAAGTTTTAACCTGTTTTAACCTGCTTTACTGAAAATTACTGATTGAAATGTTTTTTTTTCTCGCAGTTTTAACTCCAAAACACAATGTTGTTGCCAGGGCTGTGCATAAACACCAGATTTATATTCAGCGCACACACAAAACAGGCCATGAAGAGATTTTCACAGCATTTGACAAAAAGACATGTTTTGGATTAGAGTCGCTCCTTTAATAATTTCTGTCTCGGGTGTCAGCTATGATGGCACCATGCATACCATCGCTTCCTGTCCCCCTTTCTAACCTGTTTGTTCACATCCCCCACTTCCTACACACACACACACTCATCAGCATTGTGAAGCTTAATGTCACTGATTCCCATAACTGCAGTCTTGTGACAGACCAGTCTGGCATTACTGCATTACTCACAGCCATCTCTTACACACACACACACACACACATCCGCGCAAACACTGTCAGTGAGTCTTCATGGGCCCAATGTCCGGCTCCCTGACAGTGAATGAGAGCTGTGACATTCAGTCAGCACAAATAAAGCCTAGCTGCACCGCAAAACCACCTGACAATAGAGACACTTCTTCAGCGCTATCTATATTTGAATGCCACTCTTTGTTGCCCCTTGGCTTGTGGCACTTTTCTACTTCCTCTCATGGCACAGTCAACAAGATACTTCCCTCTTTTCATTACCGCAAACACTTCGGCAGCCTTCGCTGATATTGCTCATTCCTAAACAGTGTTACTGTAATCAACTTATTTTTGTCTGTAACGGAGTAATGTAACGCATTATTGTTGACAACTTCAGCAATCACATTACAGTTCCTAATAATAAAATCATCGCGTTACTTACTGGTTCTTCAACTATCAGCATAACAAGAGGAGAGAAAAATAAATCAAACATCCCTTTTCGTAACACTTGTCCGACCTCAATTTTGACTTTGTTGCCAGTTCATGAGGACACAGAAATGGGCAGAGCTGTTAAAGACGTCTTTTGAGGGGTGAAGGTATTCTACTCCATATTAGTTGTCCAGTAGGATGGAAGAATCTACTTTAAAGCCATAATTTGGCAACTCAGCCAGAGTAAGTTTGTTGTGTGGGTTTGGTTTGTTAAATACACAATTTAAATTACATTTTATATGCTATGTTTTTCATTTGAAGTCTCACCATCATCTGATATTGTGATGAGAGCCAGTGTCTTATTTTTTTTATTGATATTATTTTCAACAAATTAATATTTGCACTAGATGGTTGGAAGGACAACCAATTTTAAGTTATGAGGTTTTGTAATGAAATTCAATATTTAAAAAGTAAATGTTTCCATTTTATTGATATTATTTTCAACAAATTAATATTTGCACTAGATGGTTGGAAGGACAACCAATTTTAATGAGGTTTTGTAATGAAATTCATTATTTAAAAAGTAAATGTTTCCATTGAAATGTCCAATTAAAGTTTTACGCATTATAGTACTGTCCTGTAGCCTTGTTCTTCTCTTATAACCTATATTGTTTTTTGGCAGATAGTGCATCGCAGTAATCCAACAGTAATGTAACTAGTAGTGTAACTAATTACTTTCAGCAGTGAGTAGTAAGGCATTAACAAAAGTAGCTAGTAATGTGCCATCCATTCCTTTTTTTGAGCAACTACCCCAACACTGTTCCTGAATATTTACTCTCACACCTCCATGTCAAATTTACTTTGAGCCACCAGCAGTCTGGAAGAGAAGAAATATGGCCCTGGAAACTTCACCCTGAGTGGACCATGAGAACTGTCCGAAACCTGATCTATCACCCTCAACAAAAAGGACATGAACTAAGAAAGAAAACTGGAAACCAGCAATTATAAAACATTTGAGAGGCTAGAGCAACAGATTTTGGCGTTTTTGGTTAAATAATACCGTCAGTTACTAATTGTTCATCCAAATCGCTGCTAATCATTTAAGCTCTGATTTAGGATTTATGTTTACATCTATGTTTCTATGTGTGCAGCTTCAGAGTTCACAGAAAGTGCTCGTGTTTATCCCAGTGTTTTCAGCCTTGCCTGTTTTGCATCATCACTGTGGGTGTAAGAGCTTGGTGCAGAAGAAGGTAATCATGAAATACGCTGAATTAATTAAGTCTACCACACATTTTTAGCTTTGAAAAAAAAATCCTTATCTGTGTTGCTAGACAACTGCTGGGGTGGTGATAAAGGGATTGAACTTCTCTCTCCAGCCTTCTTTTTTCATTCGTTAAAGAAGAATTTCCGTCACTTGTATACAAATGAGTGCAACACCAGGAATGCTTTTGAGGATAGAAAAGTGTGCGTCATTATCCTTATTTGTACAACTCAGCCCGTCTCAGTGATGGCGGGTGTTTCACATTTGAGGGGGGATGGTAGAAACACTGTCTTTAAGACAGTCGGACAGCACTCTGTTCGAACTTGTTTATTTCAAGCCTAACCTGGTTTTTAGGCTTCATCATCAATTTTTAACTGCATCACGCCTCATCTTAAAAAAAGACAGAATATAAAGACTTTTTACTTAATATGAAGCTTTTACATGGGTTACATAGGAATGGAGACTACATGCATGCAGCCATATATGAAAAGATGTGGTGTTACGTCATGTATTGGGCCTTTTAAAGAAGTCACGTTGAGATGTAATGCTCATTTTTAGGTTCATCATTTTATTAAGGGGTTGTGCTAGAATAGGTTTACATGGGTTCATTTTCAAAAAACACCATATTTTTTGGGATACTGCAGCAACGCTTTTCCCTTTACCCTGTGTGTTAAACGCTCCATTTTAGCAACTAAGTGAAGCATCTCACTTCCTTTTTTTGACAGGACAAGGGATAGCGAGAGGAAACACGCAGGGGAGGGGAGGCAGCGGGCAGACGTCTTGTCACTATGAGTGCTAAAGCTCAGTGTGTTTCTCCACCGGTGTTTTTGAGGGTGTGCCCGACTTGCCGCTAGGCGAGCATTATGACGCGTGTTACAAAATAACGCAGTTTATGGAAGTAAAGGCTGGACTACAATCGAACATCATCAACACAGCTTACTAAAATATTTTCTTTAGGTTTTTCTACTTATTTGTCACCCATCTGTATGTTGTATTTGAATATTAACAACATGCTATGTGTGCTGCCCTAAAGACAACATGTAACAAGTATTTCACAGCGCTGTTTGAGCACTGGTTGAAATTGCGATCAATTTACATCTCAGGGGATGGTGTAAAAAGATCTCTGGTTTTCTAAGGCCAAAATAAAAAAACAAAAGATCCCAAAGTAATCCTAATTTTAATCTCCCTTTGCAAAGGTGAATGCGGTGTGTTTCATTTCATTAAAACAAAAATACACCTCAAATGAACCACACTGCAGTTTCACACTAAAAACTGTGTGTTTTCTCTGTTGCTATTTATGTAGACCCTCTTGTGGGTTTATGAAGCGAGTGAGAGACTGAGAATGAAGGTGTGATTGTTATTACTCACCCTGACAAAGTTATCTGGGAACAACCCCCTGCGTCCGCCGAGCTCGCCTTCCCACCATCCTCCATCGTCCCGCCGTATGTTCACGATGATGTCACCCACAGTCAGGCTCAACTCATCGTCCTGCTGAGCCTCATAGTCGAACTCCACCACGGCCTCCACTGGGCAAAAAGGGCGAGATACACAGAGAATGGGAAAGAGAAAGTGGGTTGACAATAAACTGCAATAAAAGGTCAAACTTAGCAGAGGTGTCACATTGTTCCATATTTACTCTCAGGCAAATAACGAGTTAGTTTTAGTTTTGTTTGTTGATTCACAGACTCACTATTGGGACAATTTACATTATCATCCCTGGCTAATGAGGTTATTATTTTACTTGAACAATTTGTACTTAATTTTCCAGAACAGGTTACTTTGTCATATTCAGGAGATTAGGAGCAAAACTGTTGATGGTTTGTTGAGAAATGGTATAAACAAAAATAAACAATTTATTGTGTCATAAAGAACACAAAAGCAAAAAAGAAGGCCACTATGTGCACATTTACGCTCAGGAACATTACCGTTAGCCCAAGAGGCCGGCAGGTTTAATGCAAGAGGAGGACACACTTTGTTTGTTGTGTGAGGTGAAATTGAGAATGAGGTAAATTTTCTGATTTGCTGTCCTGTCTACGAGGACGTAAAGGAGGCTGGATGAACATAAAAAACTGAGTTGTGCTTCAGGAAGGGAACTTTTTTTATTTGCCAAGCTTGGGAGAGGAGGCAGAACATTTTTTTAAGACTGAGCTGTGAAATAACCTGTAATTTTGTAATGAAATGAAAGTTTGACCACTGCAACTTTTAGTGTCTTATACACAATGTGCAACACATAAAAGCAAAATCAATCCAAATCATATACTGTACATACCTTTCTGCAGCTCTGAGTTTCACTTTCAAACAGGAAAACTGTTTTCACTCACTAATTAAAATGTTTCCTGTGGAGTTTTCTTGTAAACAAATTAAAGTTATGTTTACACTCTGCGTTTCACCAAAATGCATAGTGCGTATATCCCTGAGGTCTGCATTTATTTCATCATAACAACAACAACATCAACAACTAGAATGTCCTTGAAAGACTTACATTATGTTTAAACATAAAATCGTGCATTGTTTACATCCATGTTTGCTAACTTGCACGCTTATTTTTCACTGCTATTGTTGGTACATTATTACGTTTTTTGTGCCCTACCGCCACAAACTGTTGATCAGCGTGAAACTGGTGGAATGACTGTATCTCGTCGGGCATCCATGTGAGCATTCACAATATAAAAGCATATATGCACAAAGCTACAGCATGCTACTAATGTTCAAAAACTCAACTGGATACCTTTAATTACTCAGTCGCTGATACTTTGCTGTGCTTTTGAATGGTATTCGGCCTACTGCCAGTGAAAGTAAAAACTTCTCATAAGATATGTAGTGAATGCATCGAATAGAAAGGTATAAAGTGTATTTCTTTGTAAAAGAAGATGAAAGTTATCACTATACTGAAATAAATGAAAGTTATCACTATACTGATGATTCCAGTGAATATACATTTTTCAACCGATTAATAAAGGATTATCATAGGTGCATTGGCTACAAGCAACACATGTTCTGTACTTGATGACTATGGAAAGATGGATTCTTATAGAGTAAAGCTACACAAAATGTGTTGCTTTTGTTTTCTCCTGGCATTTTTAGAAATGAGCTACAGCCAAACAGGATCACGATTAACTCGGCGCCCTCCACTGTTTGCAGTCATGTGATTGAGATGACGTTCAATTTTCAGAATGACGCAAGAAGTGAAAGGCAGAAGGGACGACATTGAGGAAAGCCCGTACTGTACTAGTTGTTGTTTGTATAATCCCAGTCAACATGAGTGTGGAATCTGCAATCGCCCAATAAATTCCTAAATTATGGCTAAAAACCTCCCCCTGTTTTTCCAGGACATTATGATGTCACAGTGAAGTTGACCTTTGACCACCAAAATCGATCCAGTTCATCCCTGAGTCCAATTGGATGTTGGAGAAATCCCCTCAAGGCGTTCCTGAGATACTGAGAATGCGTTCACGAACATTATAATGTTGTAGTGAAGTTGACCTTTGACCTTTTGGATATAAAATGTCTGTATAATTGAGCATCTCGACATTTGCTGTGTTAATTTAAGTGTCATATAGATGTATTGTATAAGCTGCTTATGACAATTAGAAAGTACTTAAAAAGTATGACGAGTGTATAACTGCACATGGTTGCTGCACAAAGGTGTACAAGTTTATAATCACAGGTAAAAGTGACTTTGCTATGATGTGGATGGATAAAAACTGAATCATGTGGGATTTAAAGTCTGTCATGTCAAGTCTACCAGGAAAGAGAGGGACAGGTTTAAATGTAAAATATCTGCAGGAGGTGTTGCGTTTCATTGACAGTAACGTGACATGATTTAAAGAAATGACAGTAGAGTAGATGCAGTTGACTGAATAACAACAGTGTCTGTTAAACAGAGAATCTCAGAGCAGCAGACTGGTGAGTATTACATGACTATGATAGGATACTGATAGAATTAGTGCTGTGGAAATGTACTGTACACTGTGTTGACTTTATAAAGACAAGTAAACAGAAAAAAGGAAAATGTCTTGCTCAGTGTAAATAACCACTATTTGAAAAATGCACACAAAAAACACCACGCCATCTCTCTCTCTCTCTCTCTCCATATTTAACCATCACACACACCAACACAAACATTCGCACACACACAAAAACACCTTGTGACTGCTGGTGCAGCTGATAATACTTGTAAAAATGTACTGAATGTGTCATTTCGCATAATAGCTTCGTTAACCCCAACCCTCTGCGCACACACTCACAAACACACAGATTGGCTGTCGAGGCCTGATCCTTGTCTAAACTGTGTGGGCAGCTAAAGGGGGGGTGGGGGGCTGGAACGGGGGCGGGGGTGTTTCGGGGGCTGGGGTAACCATGGGAACAACAGTACAAAAGGGGTAGCTATGACTCAGACACACTTCCTCCCCCAAAAAGATGTCTCTTTCACATAGTCTAACGTAGATAAAAAGTCACTTTTTTACACACCAGGCAACCCCCCGAAATGATGACACTAGCCAGAATCAACCACATGACCAAACACTTCGTGGTAAAGCGGTGGTGTGAAAGTCAGGGCGTCGCTGCGAGTTTACATCATGAGGGGGGAGGAAGGAGGACTTCCAGAAGACATCAATAATAAGCAGACGACTGTAGTCCAATTTGGCCTTGGTGCTCAGATGGAGAGGGATATAATTCTGGCTTCGGATAGCTACAGAGATTAGCTGCATATGAGACAGTGACGTGGCAACACAAATACCATTTTCTTTTCCTGTTCTCACTTGTGATGTGTATGTGGGGAAGTGGCAGTGACTGTGAGAGTGGAAGTCAAAGGTTCTTCTGTAAGGAGAAGTCTGTGTAGTGTACTGTGCATGTACAGTAGTAGTTGTCTCGCAAACCGCATTACAGTAAATCTGAGAGGCAGAGCTGGACAACACACTGCAGTCCACCCGCCCACCCACGTCAGTCAACAACACAAACACACGTGCGCGCGCACACACACTACTGAAGAAGACGACAGCACTGAACGCACATCACAAGTGCAAAGACACAAAGTTAACGCCAAATGGGCTCTAGAGGGGAGCTCTGTCTGATGTAAAGGTATGCAGAAAGAGTGGGAACTGAGTCTTGCGAATATATGAACGATGGATTTGACAATGCTTCTATTTATTGCCTATATGATATGCTGCACAGCATGATGGGAAAGATGCAAAAACAATATGGTGGTCACAGCAAAGTATAACATACAAAAAGTCAGGAATGCATATCCATAATTAAGTAATTGATGATTTTATATTAAATGATAATAGTGAAAAGTCCCATGAAAAACATCAATGAACCGATCCTATGATAGAGCTTATACCTCTACTGATTTCCAAAAACATACACAAACAAGACTCCAGATGAATGCTATTGTTGCTCAATGGACGCATAATTGGTAACAAGCTAACAAGTGCTCGCCAAAGAGTGCTAATACGTTTGGATCAAACACATGAAAGGACGTAACAGAAATTGTTAGAACCTCTACGGAAGCCCCAAGAGGCCATACATTCATACATCTTATTTCTTCCGTTTTCCAGTGATATCCAGTGGATCCATCCATCCATCATCAACCGCTCATCCTGCGTACAGGGTCGCGGGTGGCTAGAGCCAATCCCAGCTGACAATGGAGCACCCGGAGAGAACCCACGCAGACATTAGTTACGAAATTTTTTTTCAAAGCCATTGGATAGCGGGCCGGAACATAGTCAAAGGAGAATTTACTTTTTTTTATGCACATTTTCGGAAATGGCAAATGGCACTGGTAGCAACTTGCCTGCTTGAAACACATTCCTGAGAACCTCTATCCATTTTTCTCAGATCAATAATCCTCAGGTCCATGTGACTGGTTTTGTTTTTGGTTTGCAATCCATATGTCTTGTTTATTACAGCCATGTGTAACGTCAACTAACGTAACTACGTTTGCCGTAGCCTGGTTTATTGGCTCCAAACCAGCAAGTGGAAAAGCACCTAATTTGCATTCTTTATTTTTCCACTTAAAATTCGCTTGATAATTAGATGGAAACAGGGCTACTGTGTCTGCTTAGCTCACTACAGGACTCTCAATCTCAGGGTTGTGTATTCAATTCTCATGTTGGGAATATCTTTTCTCTCCGTCTTCAACAAACTAATTCTAAAGAGACCGTTTCACATGCTCACAATAAAGAATGAACACATATTTTCATTTCCCCAGCATCCCCAGGCAGAGAAAAGTCCCGCGCTTCTCATTCAGGGGAATCCAATCTCACATTTCCCTCCGGCCTAAGCTTTCAGTTCAACTCAAATTAAAGTAAATTGCTGTAAAAAAAAAAAAAAAAACTATCACACTTTTATTTTGTGATCAAAATCACTAAGGAGGAATAATTATTTGCTGTTGCTGTCATGACTGAGATCCATTTCAGCACCAGGCACTATAAAAGTAATCTGGCCACGGGTCATCATTGCTGGCGGGCCAGTCTCGGGGAAAACAAAGTTTCGTTACCTCGAGATCTCGAGAAAATTATCCCATTATCTCAGAAAAACAACATTTGTTATTTCGAGATAATGAAAAATACAGTCATATTAGTCAAAATCAGTTCCTCCAGGATTTCGCAGAGCCTTTGTTGTGATTGTTGATGTCTAAAATGCCTGAATTCGTGACAGCTTTTCAAAAGAATTGTAATGAACGTTGTGACATTTGGGGGCATTTTCTGCGATAAAATTGTGGGATAAAATGAAAACTGCATCGTAGATGTGTTTTTTTAAACTTTAGAATTATTATGTATATTTATAATTATATATTATAATTCAAAATCATTAAACAGTCCCTCCAGGATTTCACTGACCTAACCCTAACCATGCATATTTAAACCAGTATGTATTTCTGTGTGTGAATGGTGAATGCAGATGTAGTGTAAAAGCGCTTTGAGTGGTCAAAAAGACTAGAAAGGCGCTATACAAGTAGGGAGCGTTTACATAACGTATGTGGGAAAAGGTGATGATAGGTCAAATCTGCGGTGATTGGTCAAAATTGCAAGTCGCGCTGAATTCACGATTCATTCATTCTTGAAATTCGACATTGCGAAACCCTGGAGGGACTGTAAAACGTCCCTCTTAGGGCTTCCGTAAAACCTTAGCAGAAACTTGAAATGTTTTAACTTTCTCAGCTGTAATAAAATATAAAATTAGCTTAATGTTTTCTTACTCACACATTTTCCCACAAACACATCCTGATAGCCTGATAGCTGGCTTGCTCAGTTTCAAGAATATGGTGTACAAATATACAGACTACATTTGATTAAAATAAAATATACAAAGGCATGCATTTACAACTAATGTTGAACGAACAAGATGCTTAACCAAACTTGTATATAGAGCTGCGAGGATTTGTCTATTGATCAATTAGATGATGATAAGAGAACTAATTTGCAACCATTTTGCTAGTTTGCGTAATTTTTCAACCAAACATACAAACATTTGCTGGTTTCAGCTTCTCTAATATGAGGACTTGCTGCTTGTTTGTATCATATATGCTGGTAAATGGTATGTAAAATGACAAAACATTAGAACAACACCTCTTTGGGCTTTGGGGAGTTGCATTTTTTCCGCTACTTTGATGTTTCACAGATGACTAATCGAGAAGACAATATGCAGATTAGTTCATAATAAAAATAATCATTAGCTGCAGCCCTACTTGCAATAACTTAATGTAAGTGGCGATACTGTACATGGTGTCTACAAATGACAGGGAGGCCTTGAGAAGAAAAGAGACTACAGACAAAACAAAACTCCCACTCAAGTGGTCAAGAAACACATATACAGGAACTGAGCGTCCTCTGAACAGCTGCAGTTAGTTTAGATAAGAGGAAACTATACAGGCACACTGAGCTATGCAAAGCCATGCTGACATTTCACTGGTTTACAGCGGACCTGTGTTTGGTTGCGGGTCTGTTTCAGTGCTGTCGCTGACAATGTCAAGAACAGCTGCGTGTTTCTGTCGGTTAAACATTCACACTGGACCGCAGCCCACTGGGAGTCACCCACTCCAACTGTGGATCAGATCACAGGCTTCAGCAAATTCTTCCACATTAAAGGAAAATTCCCACCGTTCTCTGCTCACTGCGAGGAGTTATATGGTGATGTACACTACTCCCTCAACCGGCATTGTTTATTTCTAATTCCCAGGACTCCCATTTCCCATAATGCCTTACGACAACCCCCAGATAAGAACTTTATGCATTCATCTTTGGGTTTTCAATGTATGAGGAAAAAGGAAAGGTGACAGCAAGAGCAAGAAAGAGAGTGAAAGTTTTTCAGTTCCGAGTGAGAATATGCCACAAGGTCACATTGTATCACTTTCTGTTAAAACTAATGACGATAGAGAAACTGAGCTCCTTTTAACGTATGTGTCTGTATAACTGTTGCATCTTTGTGTAAAGTCTGCAAATAAACCCTTTGTCTTCAGTTCTGAGGAACCGAAGGTCACAATTTTATGACAAAGCTGGCACTTTTTTCTCCTTAAAGCTGCAGCAAAATTATTAAAACTATCCACTGTAAGCGTAATATCTTGTTTTCGAGTCTTGATTTTACATGTTATCTACAGGGCAAGCATATAAATAACATAAACAACAAAATGGGCCCAGAATGCAAGATGCATACTACGGCTGTTTATAGCTGCCTTTTCAGGCCAGTTTAACTAAGGGCCTCAATGTCTTTTAATTAATGTTCTGCCCCCCTCATGTATGTAAATAGAGAGGACAAAAAATATATAGACAAACACACACACATACACACACACACACACACACACACACACACACACAGTAGTTGAGTACAAAACCAACCACAAACTTTGACCTCAGTAATGAACTGGATTTTCACATTTCTGAAAATGTAACCAAAAACTCAACATTATAAACTTCATAAAGATGGAATTTATGACAGAACTGTTGTTTTGTAGAGGTACACTGTGCCTAATAAAGTGGTCACTGAGCGTAGGTGTTGAATATGGGCAAAAAAGTAATAAATAGCCATTAGTAGGCAACTTGGCAAATTACTCCTCTTGTCAAAAAAACAGTCATGGACAGATTACCCCCTTGGGAATTCTAATTTGCTGAGGGCCCACACTGAAAACAATCTTTCTGTGCATTGTGTATGCATCCTGTCGCCGTCAAGTAACAGATTTAAAAAGAGATATGCACAATGAATGCAACATATGAAAGTATGAAAGCAATTTTTTACACAGGCCTTTTTTAAGCTATAGCTTAATGTCTACTGTAATTTAGTAGTGCATATTACAACAAATTTTGAACTACCGTAGCACATGCACACAATGAATCAATCTGGTGATTTGGGAGCCCATGATAGCCCGCTTTTCCAAATTGGTAATCCAGCCTTGACTGTAGTGTTCCCTTGAGGTTAGCAGTGCATGGTTTGTTTACATGCAGCAGAGGCAGGTCCAATAGAAAGTATGCATGCAAAGGAAATAGAAAAGTTATTTTAGACAGTGGTTGCAACTAATGACTATATTCATTACTGGTTAATATTATAGATCATTCACTTGATTAATCAGTCATTCGTTTACTTTACAAAGTGATCCTTTGCAGAGCAAAGTCACACAGATGAATGTCTTCTAGATACACAGGTTAAAAGTTGAATGAAAGGAAAAAGGAAATAGTACATCCAGCCTTGCAAGACATCTGTGAAATAATCAGCCAATTTTGTATATGTACTGAATCGATTGATTACTCGTCCACTAAACCTGCAATCAAATAATCCTCATGCATTGTGTGCAACAGCGCAGTGCTGTGGGAAACCATGGCGATGATGGGAGGAATGTCACAGTCAGGCCTGTTTCATCTACAGACACATGGAGCTGGAGAGAATCAAACGCTGTGTAACACAATGGGCAGACAGACAGAGTGAATGTAAACGTGTCAACATCTGCAACTCATCAATCCCGCCGCTTTCCTCAAATCGCAGTTGCACGGTCGCGTTGTACACCCACGCGCAGCTTTCTAAGCATGAATAAAAAGCATCGGAAACACTGTGACACGCCAAGCCCGAGCGGTCACTTACAAATAGCCCGGCTATGTCTGAAGCGACGTCAGGAGAGTTGAGGCAGGGAGGAGAGGATAGAGGTGAGGGGGAGGAAGGAGAGAGGCTGAACCCAGCGCGCATCTGGACCGGGCGTTTTTCCTGCCCATCCAGATGCGCAGAGGCGCTGGAGGCTATTTTTGGGCATTCTCTACAATAGAAGCAAAAAAAGCGTTGCATCTCACCCATTTATGTCTCCCGGTGTGCTGGCAGTGCTCCTGCAGGCTGGTTGGAAACGGGGGAGGTGGTTGTTTCAGGTACAGAGGGGGTTTGCACCGGACCGAGCTCCAGCCTCCTGCTCCTACCAGAGTTCCGCTACGGCAGCGCTGAAACGGGAGGAGCGTCAGATGAAACCATATTCCTTCCTCTTTTTTTTTCACTCCGGTGACACGACAGAGGAGGCAGAGCGGGGACCCAGAAAACGGAAAAGCGCTGATGAACAAATCTCTCTCTCTCTCTCTCTCTCTCTCTCTCTCTCTCTCTCTCTCTCTCTCTAGTTGCCTTCAGGTGCATCGCGTAAAACACGACTTCACCGATTTGCGTCTTTATCATAGGCAGACACGGGAGCATATGTTTGACGCAAATTTAGTTGCATGATGCACTGAGAACAGATGGTGGTGACACAGTTGCTCTGTTGTGGGACAGCAGATCTCAATTTTCATGAGTTGGTTTATAACGAAAAGTTTGATTTCTCCCACTATACTGTAAAATGGTGATTTATTTAGATTGCAAAGATTTTTATATTCAATTTTTAAACATACCCCTCTTGAATCAAGTACAATGATTTACAATTTAAACTCAACTTTAAGGCTTTTGGTTTTTACACCTCTCCTCACCCTCTGTTACTCACACACATTGTCATTTATTTCACTGACTGACACAACTCACAGCCTTGTTTAGCCTACTTATTCTATACTTTGTCTATAATAATATGATGGCATTTTTGATGGCACATTTGTGTTGACCCCACTGGCTGCTTGGTGTCTGGTACTATGCTGCACTATTATAGTGCACGAGTAGAAACTATTAGTCTTGTGTGGCATGGTGCTTAATTGGAATAGAACATAAAAGCTGGAAGCAGCATATAGTCTATCAGCTGAATTCATTCTCACAAATAACAATTCATCTACTTTAAACATATATACACACACACACATACACAGGCCATGAAGGCACATGAAATACGGATAGGTGCAGCAAAATCAGGTCTTGTTGTACATACGAAGATCCATAGTGAGATTATTGCCAGATAATAATGATAAAAGACAATAATACTACAAATAGTACAAAAATACAAAACACAGGACTCTCAAAGAAAAAAACAAACTATCAATAACTTTAATCATTTTTTCCGGGGTTGTTCATGCGCGTTTCATTAAGAATGTCAATATTTCCAATAGCCTTGAAAGTAGCATCTCTCTAAGCTCAAAGCCTCGCACCTGTGTAGCCCAAATCTCGCGATATTTAAGTCAACGTATACCCTTAAATTGCATTGTGAAGGGATTCTAGCACCTGTGGTTAACTGGCATTTTACTGTATAATCAGTGTCATCCAGTGGGTTATTTTTTAAAAAATAGTTTTATATTTTAGTTTAGAGACCCCTTGTGAATTACACAAAACACAGATAAACACACACCATGCAAAGCCCTGTTGTTTTGCCCCCTGGATGAAACAACAAGCAGGGCAGAATGCATGGGCTTGCAGCAGCAGAAAGAGGGCGATGAAATGATGCAGCGATACTGGAGAGAAAGAAAGAGATGAGTAATTTAGATTCACAATTAACTGTCTTTTGGGTGAAGTACTGTGGCAGAACAAGATGATGCACAGACAATAAGACGTGCTATGATAAACTAGCACAATTCAGGTATGGCATTCACATGGCCGGACATAGATCTAGATCAATTGTGAATGCATCTCAAGTATCTATGACACAAGAGAGATGATCTTGTACGGATGTGGCAGTGTGTAAAAGCCTTTAAATTATCCATTATTTTCAGGAACACTTAGAGAGGATGTGGCATTACCCTACCAGCATCTGACAAACAACAGCTGTAGCCAAAGTTAGTATAGTAGTCTTTGAATAAAGAAATTGTTTTTGGAAATACATTTATACAATATCTTTGTAGATTGATAACCACTCATGTCTTTATAGTAGGCTACATATGAAGCTACAGCTAGCAGCCAGTTAGCTTAGATCAGTTAGCCTGGCTCTATCTGACGGTAACAAAGCCCCCTGTAAAATTGCAAGTTGTGTTTACACTTTGGTTTTGTACAGATTAAACAAATGAGATAATTTTTGTGCTATTGGAAGTGATGGAAGTTAACGCTATTTAGCCTTTGATCAGAGCCTTACGGCTTCCAGTCTTCATGCTAGGCTAAGCTAAACGAGTCCTGGCTGTAGCTTTATGTTTAAAAGGACAGATATGACAGCGGTATCTATCTAAACATCTTACCACTTTCATACTGTTAAATATAAGGCTGTATCCAGTAGATGGTTAGCTTAGAATAAAGATCCTGCATCCACTCATGAAATAATTTGTGCTAATAATAATTTAGTTGTGCTGTCAGGGTAGATCCAGACTAGTCCCCCTCCCCAACCACATTTTCTGGCTTTATGCTAAGCTAAGCTAACTTAAGCTAAACTTCAGACAGGCATGAGTGGTATCCAATCAATCTTCTCTTAACTCTCGGCAAGAAAGCACAAAATCTCCCCTATGTGAAACTACTCCTTTAAACCAAAACAATGTAGTAAATTTAAAGCGAGACATAACATTTCAAAAGAAGAAATGACTAATTTGTCCTCTTATGTAAAGTTTAATCATATACAAAAAATAACAAACATACCATTGGTCAATTCAATACACTCAGGGATTTTGTCAGTACAGCATTTACTTGCTCTTGTGTGATATGTAGCTTTTGTATAATTGTGTTAGGAAGGTGAATTTGCTGTACATTAGACATTATTTTGAGCAACAAAAGAACCCACTCAGCAACAAAATGTAAAGAGATTCTGGTCACACACACTCTCTCCCACATACAGTAGATACCATCTGTGCTGCTGTACGTGCAGTTTCAAGAGAGACAATTGTTTGCTCATCCAGAGATGGAGGTTAATTCTCTCCAGAGATCAGATAATTTTAACACAAAGCACTAAGGTGACACCATCTGGGACTGTGTTGCTATTGCATGATGTGCTCAGTCCCAATTAAATCTTACCACCTACTGTACATGTGGAAACACACCCACAGTCTCAGCAGTGCAGACACTATTTCTGGCACCTCCATCCCTCCCTTACACACATTTGTCATTTGATGGCATCTGCAATGTTGCTTTTAAGTCATTTCAGGGACTGTGTGAAAGTTATTAGGGTAGAGATGGGTCCTGATATTATCTTTTTTTTTAAAAAACAAGACCCTCTCTATGGTCCTACAATAAAACAAATACTGCAACATCCTCTTGGAATTTCTTAACAAAACCCTGACTTCAAGCTCAAGCACAATAATATATTTGCTTCATACATTAGTAGAGCACATTGGGTTGTGCTGAATATGCATCATATTTTAGGTGGAAGTGATGAAATATGTACTAGTTGTACTTTCTCTTCCACTTGGGTGAAGTACAGTGACAGAACAGCAACAGCAACAGAGTTGCTGCTCAAACAAGAAGATCTGCTGTGATAAACTATAACACAGTTCAAATATGTGGCATTCACATAACCGGACAAAGATCTAGATCAATTGTGAATGCATCTCAGGTATCCGTGACGTAAGAGAGATCATACCTCCACGACTGTGACTTGAATATTTAAGTGATTTTGTGGATAGTTCTGCAAATATCCACTGTATCTACTATCTAAGAGTGTGTGTCACTGTTTAATAACATTGATTAACTCAGTCAGTAATATCAAATCTGTTGTTTTTACACTTCCGTTCATGTAAGACTCAATAAGACAAAAAACCCTGATTTCAAGCTCAAGAACCGTAATGTTTTCACTTCACACATTATTAGTAGAACATATTGCGTTGTGCTGAACATGCATCATATTATGAGTAACAGTGATAAAATGTAACACTTACTCAAGTACTGCACTTAAGTACAGTTTTGATATACTTGTACTTTACTTGAGTATTTCTATTTCATGCTACTGTCTGCTTCTACTCCTTGGTAATGGTAAATTTAACTATATTTCTGTTAAAGCCAGAAACACAAATTTAAGACAGCTGTTCATAAGAGAGATGTCCCTAAAACTATTAACATGGTTTTTGCAAGGTTCACCAAATTGTATTTAAGACTTTAATACCATCTATAATGCAATTTATTCCTAGTCTAGTGTGAAAGCATGATGGAAAAACAGTAAGATATAATTTATTATTTTTATTGTTAAATGTGTATTAATGTATGATAATATAATAATAATGTCAATAGTAACAGTGTTTGCTACAGGCCTTATGGTGCTGACTGAAACGCCAAAAAAAGGACTGAACAGCCTCTTGCAGCACAATCCACTATCTCCCAACAGCCTGCAATTAAATACAACGACTTTATGGGAGGCATAAAAATATATTTAAGACTTTTTGATACCTTCTAATTTCCTTTTGGGGAAAATAAATTAAATGCTCTTTAAACTTATCACAACCTGCAGATACCCTGTATAAAGATAGAAGAAGAGCAGCTATAAAAAAGCCCTGTTACAAACCTTTATGATCCATGGTGCCCACAAAATGCAGGATGTAACTCTAACCTTCATTTATTTATTTTATAGTCAATCTTGCAAGAAAAAGGATGATTTAAAATCTCCCTGATAATGTTCATACAGTCCCTTAGTTACAGTTACTGACTCAAACCTCTCTATGCCCACATTACTGACACTTTGTGTTACAATGAAGTCATGCTCTGCAGCAGCTTGCTCCAACAGATGACAAACCATCTGTGATGTCTGCACAGTGAGATCATATTACTGTAAATCTCTTCCCCCCCACAGGATGTGGTGGCTGTAGGTGTGTGATTTCGCATCTGTGGGACTTATTGATAAAACAAACAAAGAGAAACAGTGTCTTCTTCTTCTGGTCTGTTACTGCAACTTGAAACACGTTAAATGCACATAAATTTTGGTGGCGTTGATAACAGTTTGCCCTCTTGCTTGTTTGTCAAGGACAAGTGGACTGCAAGGCTGCCAAATAGGAATTTGAGAAAGGCAGCAAAGCAGCAGGCCCTGATCTTTTATCCACTGCTACCATTAAATGTGTTGAAGATAAACTTACTACAGTCTTCACTGATTTTTTAACAGATCTCTCAGGGAGTGCAAAGTCCTGCATGTTTTAAGTCGGCTGTCTGAATCCTAGAGCCAAAGAAATCCCACATCAGTTGCCTGAATGATTACAAACCTGTTGCATTAA